TGTACGTAGGAGACAACCGGCCGTCTAAAAGCTTCCGACGTAGACATCAACGTACGATAATACTTGGTCAAGTAGGTTCAAACACTCACGGTACTGTACGACCATCCTGTCAATCGTGTACATCAACGGCGGGTCGAGATCCTGGTAGAGTGATTTGCACGATGAAACTCTTTAAGGTCAGGCCAAGGCAAGTCGGGGCATGTCGTACTTGTACCAGTCCCGGACGTGTAGTGAACTGGACGGACACGGCTACGAGCTCACAGAAAGCTAAGCCATGACTGGACTTACAACGGCAGGTACGGTACCAGTCTGTACGGACTACTGGTGAATCTGTACAGGGAAAGAATAAAAAAGTTACCACATACTACGACCCTGTATAGGCGAGAGAGTATATGTACTGGACGTCGTACATGTAAACTAGGTACATATACGAACGTACTATTTAACTCATAACACGTGTAGACACAGTAGTCTACGTGTTACTAACGACCTTAATATTTTCACGTCTAGACATGTACTCGTGCAGTAGACGACTCTTATGAGTTCACTAGTGACATGTACTTCACGTTTGTCCTTACGAACACGTCTACGGAGAATGTCGTCATGAGACGGTAAGCACTTTTGGACCTCACAGTGAGAGATACAAACACTCGTTAATGTAAACAGTCGACCGAGTGTTTGTACTTCTCACGTCAGAACAAGGTGTTGGAGTCCTAACTGACAATCACAATCCTGCAACTCCGTAGACGTGAGTCTCCAATAAGGTGATCACAACTGTAGAGACTCTTACTAGGGTCATCCTCTAAGACTGTATTCATTACGTGGACGGATAACTTGTCGCAAGTGTTTTAGTAAGTAACACTCGGTAGACTACTGTGTCTACCACCTTCACTCAATGAGTATATAGTACGTTCAGTTACTGTTGCCAAGTATCACGACTGTACGTACGTCCCAGTTACCTCTACTGCTCTCTCTATACAAGGGGCTAGTATGTGGTACTTTTTTTAACTTTTCTGTACAGATTGACAGAGGTCGTACGCACGGGTGAGTGACCGACACCGTGTTGTTCAATCAAACATGTCTTCATCTTTCTGTTACGTCGGTAGTCGTCAGCTCGTCGCAGCAAACACTGGGCGCTGGTCCTCTACACCGTCCGACACCGCTTGCCTTTGGCCTGACCTTAAAGAGTTTCTCCGGCAAACTCACTCTACAGGACCTTCCACAAAACAAACCGCAATCTTGTACAGATTGACGAATGGTCCGTAACAGTACGTGAGTGTTTGAACCTACGTCGACGTCCAAGCTCTTTGTTGTACAAAGAGCAATGTTTCAGACAGCGATATGGTGTCACAGCCCGAACCCAAACCCTTGTTATGGAGTCCTGTTGGCAAGGGGTGGATTGTCAGGGATGGGGGCATTCAACCAGTGCTATTTACAAAAACCCCAGCACCTACAGAAGTGAGAGACTTCTTGTATTGCAAAGATGCAAAGTGTGGAGAGAGTGGAAAGTGCCAGTGCCTCTCTGTTGGCCTTCCCTGTACGGGGTACTGCACCTGCTGTGCAGAATGTCAACAATGTGTTCCCTACCGTTTCTTAGGAACCTGACATTTATTACATTTTATATTCTAGTATCTATATACTTGACCTCTCACAGAATTATTTGATGATTTGTATAGTGCACTTTGAATTAAGATTCCAGTTTCAATAAAACCTGTACTATTTACAGCTATGTTTTAGAGGCTTGCAATTTAGAACTAATACTTTATTGTATTGGGTTACTCTCTTATTCTGATTTGGTGATGTAGTTCAGGCACCTGGTATTTCCCTCTCCAAATATAATGACCATCAGAGTGAGCATTCTTAACTTATAGGCTATTATGCCATCACCCATTCGGAATTTGACTTTAGAGAGGAGGCCTATGTCTAAAGAAATCTAATTTGTAATAGAACTGTACCAGATATTTCCATACAACTACTGGTTAGTGTTCAATAGCACCCTAGATAATTCAGTAATGGTATATTTTTTAGGGATTTCTGTTTCTGATAAATAAGAGAAAAGTGATGAGTCCTATGTTCCTATCACCAAAAGTACAATTTCCGTTTAAACTAAAGCTAAGTTTGCAGGACTATAATTCAGTATCTTTTTAGTTAAATAATTGTCTGACTATTTGGTGATGTAGGACAGCCACCTGGTTCATACCTCAGCAAATCTGACGAGGAAAAGAGTTGTCATTCTCAAGTTATGGGCTTTTTTTGTCACCTTTCCCATATTCGGCCTAGTCTAATTTGGCTCTTTTTCAGGGATTGGGGTAGTTCTAACCAAAAAACATTTTTTCCCCCAAAATAAAATTTGACAACAATCAATTTCATTAATGGGACACCATAAAGATAAGAAAAATCATTGTTGTCATTTGTTCTACTTCGGGTAGGGGTATCTCGAAAACCTTTTTTGAGGACTTGCTGCTAGACAGTCCTTCTGCTATGCTGATTTTACATCTGGAGAAGCACATACATATACAGTATAAATGAATGAAAAAACCAACACGTAATAACCGTAATAACATAATTGTCCGTAGCATGGGAAAAATGCAAATGAATGAATGGATACTATGTATTAGTGACGTAAGACCCCACCCATTTTGAATTACGTGTTGCAAGAGCGCGTTTTGATTGGCTGAAAGGATCGAATGCCAAGCCTTGCCAGTGGCTGTGATAGGTCCTTACTCTATGCTTGTGACGTGTACATGCGGTCACATCCACGGGCTGTAAATAGTCTTAAAAACCATGACATAACTCGTTGACACAGCGTTTAATTAAATCACATTTTAGCCACCTTTATTGTTTATAGTTTGTAACATTTGCTGTGATGGACGCAATCCTATCCAGGCTCTTCTCCTCGGAAGAAGAGGAGTTGTACGTGTTGGACTGTCTGGGTTACTTTATGATTTTCATGGCAGCCTGCACTTTCGTTGCTTTGCTTTTCCAGGATGTCCCGTACGGACGATACGCTCCCAGCACCGCCAGGTTTCGAGTTGATGCCCGGATTGCTTGGTTCGTGCAGGAGCTGCCTGCCTTCCTGGTGCCTTTCTGTCTGGTAGTTTGGACATCCTCTTCAAAAACGTCACTACTGCCCAACCAGCTGGTCATTGCAATGTATTTCTGCCACTATATTCAAAGGTAGGTCATCATTACAGTCAATTACATCTGGAGCAACTAACATGCTTGCCAATTACCAGCACAAATAATGTATTAAGTGGCTCCCAAAGTGTGTACATGTAGGGCTCTTGCTATTTCCCTCAAATAAAAATCAATATTTATGCATAATAAGATAACTCAATAATGTACACAAAAAATGTTCAGTATCAGTTTGATGTCCAAGTTGGTTTATACATACAAGGAATTTGCTTTGATGTATAAGGGTGGATACATATTTATAGGAATATTTATCCAGAAGGAATTCAATAATAAAAAAGAAGCAAATATAGAATTATTTTAACTTAAAACTATCATTAATTTAAAAGGATGTTTACAAGCAAATCTGAAAATTAAATTAAATAATAATTTTTTTTGCTGTATATCAACATTTAAAATATTTGAAGAGTTTAAGAAGCATTGTGTGGAAATGTGCAAAATATACAGAAACATTTTCCATGTTATTATTTAGTTATATTAGCTTAGTTGTACTAGTTGACTGATCCAAGATGTCAAAGCAAACACTTGAAATAACTTGTTGTTTTATTTCTGCTACAGATCCCTCATTTATCCATTTTTAATCCGAGGAGGTAAACCAACCCCACTGGACTCATTTGTGCTGGCCATTATGTTCTGCATGTATAATGGATACATGCAGATCAGGTACCTGAGCCATTACGCTGACTACCCGGCACATTGGGTTACACATCCACGCTTCATTGCAGGTTGGTGTCTTGTGTCTGCTAACTCTCTATCAAAGGCCAAATTAATGGTCTAATTTTGCACATACGCTTGTCTTGTTGACACTTTTTCATGATGTAAAATCTATCTGGTGTAGCTTTGAGTGTGAGTCATATTAAGTTTATGTATGTGACATTAGCATATGGGAAGTGAAGAATTGCTCATATTTATATATCGACAGATGTTGAAGAAACAATTATTATACATACATCCGGTAGGTGCGAGGCTATGGTAGGTGCATAAGGTAACGCCTGCACACAACAGTATATGATTGATTACCTTCTTATCCTTTTTTAGCCTTGAAACAAGTGTACTTTGTCCTTATTAGCCGATTCAGACGTTCAAATAATTTAATTTAACACTGTATATAAGGATAAGGGAAGAAGCAGTGGTGTAAACTTCATAAGAAGAATACCCAAGTCAAACAAAACCAAATCAAGTAAAAGTAAGTAATAAAGTATTGGGTTGATTGATTTCTCAAAGTGTAACTAACTGTGAATGTAATGTGTTTTAGTCTGATCAGATTATGTAAAGAAACATACTGAATAGCACTGCAGAAAACCACCATGCCATTTTTTCCCCATACCAAACTTTAGGTAATTTAGCCTCCTTCCACGCATGACGACACTAGTATCTAAAGCTACAGAACGACCCTCTGGCATGCTGTTACCCTTTTGAAACCCGTGTTACCAGTGTTAAAACCATGGCTGTCATTCACACACTTTTGTCCACCTTGTAACTTCCCCTTTTTTATGTTTCTTGCAGGTGCTTTTCCCTTTTTCCAAACCTTTAAGTGCTCAGCAGTTTTTCTTGGCTACGTTGCTGTTCAAGCAGGAAACTTACAATTCCAAATGTTTGTGTTTTTTTAACTGTGACCGCCCCTCCACTCCCCTTACCTTACCCTGTTTGACTTTTCAAACCACCACATCTGCATTAGATAAAGACAAGTAACAAAATAAAAAAACATTCAAATAGAAAATAATTACAGTTTTATAATTAATAATATAATGTCCCACGTTTGTCTGAGTATATGAACAGACATCTATGTAATTAGTTATTGTTGTAGATTATAGATGTACAATGTGTACGCGGGTCAGATATGGAATTTTAAAATGGTTTTAATATATTTGAGCCTAGCATAGAACTAATATGAACTACTGAAAGAAGTTTTTTCAAAAAGAACATTTCACTATTCATTCGTGTGTCATGAAATACGTTTATTTTGAGTGTTGTGTCACAGCAGCAGCAATACTAATGATGAATACTGTGGAAACATGTATCTTTATAAAAATGTTCAACATGTTGGTATGTCTGCTCATGTTGCATTACTGAGAGTTAGATGAGAAAAAATGAGGCCAAACCAGATTTGTGTGGAGGTTGAGCAGGGAGGAGAATAGCTGAGTTGTCTGACTGGTCTGACTGGCTTTCGCTCAGTAAAATGTCATGTTAACGAAGCTTTTTGTGGGTTCGTCTCCAGGTTCTGTTCTGTGGTTGGTCGGCTGGCTGGTGAACATGCACTCTGACCACATCCTGAGGAACCTCAGGAAGCCCGGAGAGACTGGTTACAAGATTCCCACAGGTAAGGGCTTTAGTCACGAAAACACTGGGCCGAAGGATTTCTCTCACCACAGTCAACTCTTCTTATACTCCTGTTACAGTACACTTAACTTTCAAAGAGAAACAACTTGATGAGAGGTCTAAAATAATAAAACAAAAAAAAGTAGTTTGGATTGTTTGAAGTTGGGTTGTGTGAGGTACTTTTCCAAAGTCAGTGTATAAATAAGAGTAGATGTGTGTCAGCAATCCCCCAGTTTTGAGAAACAGAACTACTGTGGACAGGGGCAGCAGCAAAACATACATTTACAACAACAACAACAACAACAACAACAACAACAACAACAGCAGCAGCAGCAGCAACATTTACCCACTCAATATCAGTTATTGGTGAAATATTTGTTTACCATTTCACCTTGTTGTTATATATGGCCCTTTATGCCGTTAGCCTTGCTTTTTTTAAAGCCACCAGACTACATTGAAAAACCCCACATTTTACCTTGCAAAAGACAGGAACTACTGGGGGGTATACTACGAAGCAGGATTTTCGGTTAGCCGGCTAACTTCAGGGAAAACTCGGGGTTTCCGGTCCTACGAAGCTGGTTCTCTTTTTAGCAGGCTAGATCTCCATGGTAACTTATGCTGTGCGGCTAACCTGCCCCGAAGCAGGTTAGGTTGCAGGCTAAGAGCTCAACTCAGTGAAAGCACTGCCTGCTGACCAATCAGAGCTCAGTGTGCGGAGTTTAAAGCGATCAAGTCATATTACAGGAGAAAGGAAATACAGAAAAGCTGCCGTTGCAGGAAAGACGGCCGGCAGAGATCAGCGACTGTGTGAACGTGAACATTAATAGAATATCACCTCCCATCTTCAGAGCAATCTGACTATTATAACATTAGCGTTAAGAAAGCTTACTTAAACATAAGTAACCGGATCAGAGTAACATTAAGTACAGTCCGCGGCATATCACATCATAATGTATCATATATTTCCTTATNACCCGAACGGACAAAAAGACTTGCTGCAGGCACGAAACATACTACCAATAGAAATACATTGCTTTTAAAATCGTTCTGTGTGACACGAAGAAAAGGGGAAAATCGTGTTGGTGAACACGAATCAATAGATTAAATGTCGTGACTATAACACGAAATGCCGTGCTATTACACCTACACCAGAGGCCTGTACTACGAAGCTGGATTTTCACTTAGCCGGCTAACTTCAGGGAAAGCTCGGGCTTTCCGGTCCTACGAAGCTGGTTCTCTTTTTAGCAGGCTAGATCTCCATGGTAACTTATGCTGTGCGGCTAACCTGCCCCGAAGCAGGTTAGGTTGCAGGCTAAGAGCTCAACTCAGTGAAAGCACTGCCTGCTGACCAATCAGAGCTCAGTGTGTGGAGTTTAAAGCGATGAAGTCATATTACAGGAGAAAGGAAATACAGAAAAGCTGCCGTTGCAGGAAAGACGGCCGGCAAAAATCACAGACTGTGTGAACGTGAACATTAATAGAATATCACCTCCCATCTTCAGAGCAATCTGACTATTATAACATTAGCGTTAAGAAAGCTTACTTAAATATCTGCCACAACATAAGTAACCGGATCAGAGTAACATTAAGTACAGTCCGCGGCATATCACATCATAATGTATCATATATTTCCTTATCTGAGTCAGCTGAGCCGTATCTGGCCGTGCAACACTCACAGTGTCACATACTGTATGCAGAAGTATTATTTTAAGCAACACATTAAGTTGACGAAACACTCGTGTCAAATGTAATTAAAGTCAGATCGTGTCTTAGACGGGGCAGTGATATCGTAAACCTGTTAATGTACGCATTCAAACACTTTTTCTTTTGCCAGCTATATTCACCTTGCAGGTGCAGCTATGTGGCTTTGATCCTGGATAAAGTGTTTAAGTCATAGATGTTTAAAGTTTAACTTCTTCATATGACTAATATTATAGTTGACTTTTCATTCAGGAAGTATGACGCTGCGCTGTCAGTACGCTTGTCCATATTTGTGATTGGTCCAAATGCCACCCCTTTCATGTGAACGCGCACCTAACTAGATAGGACACGGCTGGCTTGAGCGATCGAGTTGATAGCCAGCGTCGTAGGACAGTTTAGCGAGAGCGCGTATGTTTTGGATTAGGCCAACCGGCTAACTCAAACATATCCAGGTTAGGTTGTACCAGCTTCGTAGTACAGGCCTCTGGTCTACTAGTGCCTTTTATTGCTTAGTTTGTCTGTGCTAATGTGTTAGTTATTACAAAAAAAACAAAGACAGCTAACTCTATCATTGCAGCGATAGACTAGCAACTCCTGTGTTTTTTAAATATATACATTTTTAAGTGCCGGATATTCTTTGTGCTTTTACTCCATTCCAATATTTTTTTGTTTTTTGTTTTGGTACTTTAACTTTATTTTGAAGTTAATATTGTAACTTATAAGTACAATTTAAATGCTCTAACTTAAGCAAAACACCTAAGTACTGTATGTCTTCCACCTCTGTAAACAATTAACAATACTTATATTTAACTGAAATGAGACCTTCATTCTCTAGAGTATTTCTATTTTTGAATGCAAGACATTTACTGTTAAAGGCTCATTTGTCATTGTATGGCTACTTCTACTGAGGTTTAGAGTTTAAATCATTTTCCCTGCACTGCCATGGGGTGGCAAAACCGCCAGGAAAGCAGTAATCACTTCATGGCACAGACCTCTGTGGTCCATGTACACAGCACTAGATGCTAATTTTCCAGTGTGGTCGCATGATTATACAGGATCACACTGTGAGCAGAATCACTGGTTGTCAATAGAGATCTTCTCCTCTCTGCATTGCCCTCTACGAACCCTTAAATTAGTGTTTAAAAAGGTTCTCGCTGCTTTGACTGCTCCCGCTGTGTGTCACTGGCTCACAATACTCCTAGTGTTTGTGTGTGTGTGGTTTTACTTAACTTAAAACAGAAAGAGAAATGTACCAAACCACGCAATGTTTATAGTAATCATGTGAGACAGCAAGCCAGCCCCATACTGGAACATGGACATTATACTGCAGGCTATATTCTGCACCAGAATAATTCCAGATTCATTTTGAATTAATCTTCCGCTTATTTGCTTAATACCACACTCGTGTTTGTACAGCAAATATATGCTACAGCCAGCAGGCAATATTATCTTATTTGATTAAAGCTTAAAAAAACAACGGGTTAGAAGTGTTACAGATATGCTGCAATTCTCAGTGTTTTCATAAATCTTCTAGTCCAGCGCTGGGGCGAGAAAACAAGCAAGCGTATTTCCCAAAACATAGAACTGTTCATTTTAAAACAAAACAAGAATTAGGCATACATTTCTGAATGAGAGAACATTTTAGAGGTGGGTATTTTATAGAGTGTATGACCTTTACTATGTAAACATGTATGGCCACTGTATGACAAGTGACAGGCAAAGGTGGCTCAACAAGATTTGGCCCATTCCAAATTGCTTCTGACAAATAGTCTTGAGGGCAGTATGTGTTAGGAAAGAAAACCAATAACACATACACTCCTGCTATTTAAAATTACATTATTGTCAAATTCAAATGGATTTTTCCTTTTTGCTTAAATAATAAGTTATCATGATTCTTTAAGCAAAAAGCCTTTGTGGGCCATTAACATGCACACAAACCATGTAACACACTACAGGAAATTAAAAAAAACTCGAAAAGCATTTTAGGGCCCCTTAGGGCTACCCTGACTAAGAACATGGTCCCTCACCTCAAGCCTGAACTTGCGGTGAACCTGCTGAAACCATCCGTCCCGAACCCTTAAGGGAAATAAAACAAAGAAACCCTTAAGGAAAAAACACGGAAAGGGCGAGAAGGGAGGAAGCCGTTTAAGCCGCGCTGGAAATGAACTTACTGGCACGTCTGGATTCCCCTCTGCCAGGAATGCGATTTTCACACAGATGGTAGCAACACTACCCATGGCCTGCATTCAAAGAGTGAAGGCTAAGCTATTTATAAGGTCAGTGGAGCTAGTTGTACTCCACTGACCTTATCGGATCATTTTTAGCCTTTGAAATGTCAGTACTATTACTGCCAGATATGGATTTATAATTGACATCATAGTTATGTTTCTTCCAGAATAAACTATTTGGGTTATTTTTGCCTCCAGTGAACATATGAAAAGTTTTTCATACCTGTCTTCATTCCTGTGTCTTCCACCAACAGGCGGACTGTTTGAATATGTGTCTGGAGCCAACTTCTTAGGAGAGATAACAGAGTGGGCCGGCTTCGCTCTGGCTGGATACTCTGTCCATAGTACAGCTTTCGCCATCTTCACCGCAGTGGTCCTCTCCAGCAGGGCTGTGTCACACCACAAGTAAGTATAATAACACACACATACAGAGAAAGATGGATGTCATGCAGTGTAAGGCACACGTTGAAGCAAATACCTGAAGTAATAGTAGAACATTGCTCTTTCACTCTCTACAGATGGTACCACGCTAAGTTTGAAGACTACCCGAAAAGTAGGAAGGCACTGATTCCCTTTCTGTTCTAAAAACACTGTGGGTACTGGAAGCCTGGAAAGCCTGAAAAGTGACATTCCCAACATTTTACAAAACTTAGATAAGCTCTAAAATAAGCTACATTTGAAGACCCAGTGCTGAAAACTGAAAAAAAAAACAGACTGCAAGCTTGTACATTACCTCATGTGGTTTTCAAGCAATCAAACGGTTTACAAAAACATCTTACCGTTGCTTCTTACTTTGGTAATAACGCCCATAAAGCAAAGTAACCTCAGCAACACTGAACTGTATGTAATTGAAATGCTCTGTTTGCCAAAGAGGCAACATTTAGCATTCCTCAGGAGGAAATAGGACGGTGAATGGAGCGTACCTCAACAGTAATACAGTGGATTTATCACTCTCTGCACCAGCAATAAACTCTTTAAAGACTCTCCGCTGATCTGCATATTCTCCCAGATGGAATATAAACTCGGAAATGCAAAGCAGACACTTAAAAGTTTCCATCCATTCTCAAGAGTCATCTGTTGCCAGTGCATCTTTTTTAACATCCGTTGACTGAATGAAGAAGAAGGAGATTTAATGAAGTCCGAACACATGTTTCTGCCTCATTTTGCTCCGGGTGTCGTTGCTACAAATTCCTGCAGTGCATCTCCGTTCTTTAAAGACTGATACTGTAGCAGGCCTGTCCACAGCTACTCTGCTGCAGGGAAATCGAATAGAGGTCAAGCATGTCCCTCAATAACTCACCCATGCCTGAAAAAAGAAGAGAGTGCCGCCTCAACACATCACTCCTGTCTGGGTGTTCTGAGAAAGAGAGAACAAATGATTGAGTGTGTGAAAGCAGAAGCACATTGAGCATAAACTGAATGAAGGAGAGGAGGGAGCCTGGGAGAAAAGATAAGACATAAAAAACTAAAACAAATCTTTCCTATTCTATTATTGTTTAAAAATAACGTTTACCATAATCTCATTTCCCTGAGTAAGGGCTTTCCTTAAATCACGTCTTATTTTTTAGATACTAAGAATGTGATCTGCCTAATGTTTGGTGTTTTTTCAAAATAGGTTTAGTATTAAGTGCAATTATCTCATCACAAGTCAAATCCATCTACAAGTGAAAATGACATTGTTTCCATTGAAGCCTGTCTTTTCACAAAAAGTGCAAAAAAATCTCCCATCACTTTTCATAAGTTCTCCCTTTTCCCAGTTTAGGAAATGTTACATCAAGCCAAGGTCATGTCACATTTAATGAATGTGTTGTTTTTGAACATTTATATTATGTCATCATTTTTTAACATAGCCTCATCAATAAATAAAAGACCTCTGAGTATGATGAAAAATGAAGGCTGTGTGTCGCTGAAGGCTATGCAGACTGACATCCTTCATGTTCCCCCTCTGTCTCTCTCTTTCTCTTCCAGGCTATTTCCTCTGTGTATCCTCTTTGTCCATGCTCCTTGTAATTGCATCACTATATTAACCAGCCAGTGTCTTTACGTAGCCCGCCGTACGAATATAATACCCTTCATCTTCAGGCAGCAGGCACCAATGGATTTTCTTTTTATATGCAAAGTAATTTGCTGGACTGGCTTTCAAGAATCATACATAAACAGTACATATGACAACCTGTGCAAAATAAAAGAAAAACCACAACAGCAGCAGTAGAGATGCAACATCTCATAATACACACACAGATAGGAATAGCTGCTTGAATAAAAACACTTCCTCCACAGGGAAACAAACAGTGGTGTCTGTTCCTTTTTCTATGACTGATGTGGGAGGGTTTGGGAATTCAAGTTGTGACTATACATTTGCAAATGTTAGCGTTTTACGATAATTAGGTTTCTGTATAACCTTGAACTTTTGTAGCCGGTGTTTTTTAAGGAAGTACACTATAACCCATGTGACCGGAAAAACTGTTCTTGCCATTAACAAAATGTATATATTCTTGTTGTGTGGGAGAGAAACTTCCTCTGGATGAAAATCTACAATTTTAGCCTTTGGAGACCGTTTACATGCACAAAGACATACAGTATACCACAACACAGGAAAGGGAAGCTCTAAAAAAAAATCATAATAGGCCCCTTTAACATTTTAGAATGTGTGTTATTTTTGCCTACAGGCGGCGCACATCAGCACTCATAGGCTACATTTTCAGGTCTAAACCTGTTTTGTCTGTACGTGGTTGCACGTTGACTGGTAGTGCAGATCGGGATTTGTGCTCTGCAAATATTTGCTGGGCCAATTATAATGCTTTCCTTGTTATGCTGTATAAAAAGCCACAATGTGACTGACCCACCACAGGCGATATGTTCATGTGTAGAAATGTGATATAGCTGTTGATTCAACAGTGTAAATGCAGCTTCCCACTAATGTGGGTTAAATATCTGGAACGTTCGGCGGCCTCATTATTATTCAAGCCACATGCAGTCTCTGACTACTGCCTGCTCTCTTAATATTATCTGCTATTACTGTTATGCCTGAGAGCATACAGTTCTCCAACCCTGCCCCTGACTGTATATATATATATATATATATATATATATATGTGTGTGTGAGGCATCTGTCAGCCATGGTCCAGTCGTCACCAATGCAGTAATCCCATAAAAGCTGACAATGAGGCAAACCAGCCTTGAAATCGCACACACACACTGGCACACAGTCTTTTGGCTCGGGCCTAGTCTGTGACATGAGAGATGAGAGGAATAACCTATTCACTCTGGTGAGTCACTCAAGCGCCTGTGGTTCGCACACTGTAAGATAGGGGGAGATAGAAAGAAGAGCTTAGATTTATATGGACGTACAGTGGGCTGTGAGCAGCTGTGTGTATGCATACAGTCAGAGAGCTACATATCCTAGCTGGCACACAGTTGGCTCTGGGGGTTTTTCCTTGACTCTGTCACATGCTGCACGCGAGTAGCAGGAGTTGGGGGCGGGCATTATGCAAGGCCCTCTCTCCCTCACTCTTCTTCTTCTTTTACATGCACACACATCCCAGAAGGTGCTGGTTATCCAGCCTGCCTCCGCTCCATCACCGAGCTTAATGGGCTGCGAGATGGCTGTTACTGGGCTGGGAGGCATAGAGAGCCTGGGATGATCAACACCACCTGCTGTGCATTGCCCCTTGGAAATGAGCATTTGGATTCACGGTCTGCAGAGTGCATCTCAAACAATAAAAAAGGAAAAAGATCCTGATCTCCATTTGCGATCAGAAAGTGAAAAGAACTGTGATTTTCCTGTTGAATGCTGAGTTTTCTGCTGTTTGAATGTGTGTCAGCAGCATTTTGAGTGCCAGATGTTGCGATTATGGCCCCTATTTGAGATGATAACATCTCCTCTGTCTGATGTTAATTGCATTTTGTCGAAGTGTTATGTGTTTCTAATTCGTCAAACAGTTTAATGGTTAACTTCACAAAGACACAAGCTGTCTCTATCTTTCTGGCGTATCTGGGCAGACATACTGTATTCCCTCAAGTCCAAAATGGCTCTAAAATCCACAGCTATAGATGCACATAAATGTCTCACATTTTCTTATTTTAATGTAAATCTGTGCCAACATTTCAACATATATAAATGATGCTGGATGTTAGTGTACAGTAGTAATAAATGAGCTTTTGCAAGAGCAAATGGACCACAGTGCCCACATACAAATTACAAGGAATTGTAAGTCGCTTTGGATAAAAGTGTCAGCTACAGTAAATGCAATGTAATGTAATTGGTAATTCTATTGGCAGTTTATCATCAAATATATATTTTTAATGTATTTTCTAGTTCATGTTCAAAAAGTATTTTGTTTTCTATAACAGTAGATTATTGATGTATAGATGTTATCATTTGTAAATTGTAATACTGTATGTCATTATGGTCATGCCAATAAAGCTATTTCAATTGAATTAAAAAAGACAGTATAGTGTTCTTCTGCAAGAGCCATTGGACCACAGGGCTGATACACATTTACGATTTACCTTGGATTTAATTACTTGTTTTTCAATTAAATATTTATCGAATTAAAATTCAAATATGTACGATGTGCAATTCATCACCCGGCCGGAGAGAGATGAAGGAGTGGGCGTAGTCATCGTTTAAGAAACCCACCGTACAGCGCATGCGCATGGATTTGAAGAGAATACGCCATATTGAATTCCCGTAGGAAACGGCTAGCATTTTTTCCCCCGGCAGCTAGCGGTGTGTAAATGGGACAGTTTATCATTCCGGTTTAATGCTTAAATTCTCTTTTCGTTATCTGGCACAGAGCAGCAACATTTGCAAGGGACACCAGGGGAGCATATTTTAAAACGGGGCTTGTGTGTGGTAGTAACGGGGGACGGGTTACCAGAGAAAAATAAGTTGAATGGATCCGAGGGTTGCTTGGATTCAGCCGGAACAGAAAGGACCTGCGAACGCCTTATGGATGCACGTCTGGGAGACCTCTCAGGGAACACGGACCCTCTCCTCCGCCCAGCACCAGAATTACAACCAGTGTGTGAAATACGCTGCGTTGGGGGTTTTAAAAAATGTGGCTTCTAGCAAGAGCAGCAGCAGCCATCAGAGCATCACTAGCACTGCGATTTCCTCCCTGGATTTAAGGCTGTCCAACGACAACTCCACCGCTGAACCAGAGGAGAAAACCTTGCTACAGAAAAGGGGAATCTCGTCCACCACGGCGTTGCAGGAGTTCCGCACCCCTTCCAGCTGTGAGAGGACTATGGGTGGAAATGTAACAGGCAATATTAATAGTACAAATAAAAACGTCGGGGGTGCCAATTTCCTCCTCCACGGCATGGATAATAATGTCTATCAGCTCCCGGCTTTCCAGCAGCTTTGCATGAAGCGCCATCAGGTTCACCCCTCCGTACCTGAAAACCCCACACACAATCACCATCCAGGCCGGAGGAAAAGTGACAACAAAGCGAGCACTTATGGGATGAATTACTTGCTTTCAAACTGCACTAATGGCAATTATACGTGCACTTCTTGGACGCCATGGAAGACGAGGAAGTACAGCCCTGGGGTCCTGGGGTAAGTGATCACTGCTCGGGTGTTTAAAGGGGTTAAATGTACAGCATCAAGATCAAAAAGGTCAGAAAATGTCCATATGTGTTTAAACAATTCCAATTTGGGATCGATCAAGTATTATCTTATTTGTTATTTATTATTCCCACAGCGGGGATATTTAAAAAGTGACATAGCAGGTTAAATAGACAAGCAATGATATTTAAAAAAGAAAGAAAGCACACCTTAGAATTTAATTAAATGAAGACAAATAAGTACACAACCATGGCTAAAATAAACTGTTGTAGTAGCAGTTTGAAATAGCTTATTGACATAAATAACATTAGATTACATATTTGTCTTTTGGTTTGATTGGTTAAAAGTTGCTTGACAATTCTAAATACATATTTGTACAATATTATGGCTCATAAAACGCAATAAAGATATGTATTTGCTAACGCAGTTAATGCTTTGTACGACATTGCAGTTTAAACTGGAGTTGGGCTGTTAGCTTTATGGCTGACAAGATACCGTTAGAAACGCCGACAAAACCGGAAGTGCTAGGATGTTCTACTTGAAGTTTGAATTTAGCCGTTAAGAAATCACAAAATAACAACAAACTACTGAGAGGTGTGATTAAAAAGCAAGCGTTTTTGAGGAGTTTATAATAGTGTCTTTCAATACAACAACACTTTTTATTTAAGTGTTTTATCTAAAGGGTGATTTATTTAGAAGGTTTTAACCGGATATGTTGCTCTTCAGTCGGTTTGTTAGCATGATGTGGCTAAGGTTAGCTAACGGTTATCTCTTTTGTCTCAACATTATTTTAAATTTCGAAAGCTTATGCACAACAGTGTAGTCACGGCAATGAACATCTTAAGTCACAGGCTCCTCCAGCAATGCCACATAAAAATAAATATAAGCCACACAACTAATTTAAAATAACTTAAAATAGTGCTTGAAGAAACAGTATAAATAGAATAGTGCTATATGTTGCAAGACCAATGTGCAAACTAATGCATGGGAAGAGAACGATAAACATGTTAAATAAAATACCAAAATCGAAATGTTGCAATGAATGTAGTAAGTAACCAGGGAAATGCAGGAGTCTACATACATACATGTTAATAGAATAACATAAACAGAATGTCAAATTAAATACTGTACAATGGAATACATTCTGCATTAAATTTAGGGGAAAAGCACATTTTAAACTGGTGTTATTTTAAAATACTACAACAAGCCTGGGTGTTAGCTAAAGGGGTTGGATAACCCTCAAGTAACAAGTGACATGTAATGCAAGTAACATGACAAATCATGTTGGGTGAAGTACAAAGTAAGATAAAATGAAATACTCAAGTACACTATTTGAGTAAATGTACTTAGTTACTTAAGCGGTTAGCAATTTAATCACAAATGTAACAACTTTCCAGAAAGAACCGTTTAAACTTGTGTTGTTATAAAATACTACAACTAGCCTTGGCTTTAGCTAAAGGGGTTGGATAACCCTCAACTTGTGTAATGTGGGTTGAGGTAAAATGAGCAGTTCATTCATCCCAGGCAGTCTCCTATGTGCCTGTACTGTTTCTAATGTATTGCTTTATTTAGTCAAATAAATACATTAGCTTGCTTTGGGAGTATAGAAAACAACTTTCTTTAAAGGATGATCTGGTTTATTGTATATTCCAGCCTTTTCCACTCCATTTTGTCATACTTTATTGAAGTAAAACCGCTTTTCAGTAAGTTAAGTTATTTAGATCTTAAACATAAAAGTTGCAGTCATATTTAACTCACTTATTCCAGGTTATTTTACATGTAGCTTTCACTTAACAACACTTAAATAACACATACTGCAGATGGAAATAAACTATGAGCTGAAATCTGGCATAAATCTCCTCTTTTCTTTTCTGAGATTAATGTATTTGTATGCATGGCCCTTGTTCAAATACATACATAAATTAATGATCAGACAGAATAGGACCTAAAGTAAATATACTTTCGCTAAAGGAAGGGGAAATTAATGCAATGCAATACAAATGTATTGGTACATAGTTTAAGTACATTAACTCCAGTATAGGTTTTACCTGGATTGTATATCTAAAGCTGTATTTAACTTTTTCCATTGTGGTATTTTTATAATGGATCAGTAGGTGTAATATACCTGCATAAGACCCTCATTGTTAATGTAGTAAGAGTTTTATAATTAAATTAAAGGATTGTCTTAGTTTAATGTTATAAGGGTGATTATTTTGCTCTTGTAAAAACCTTCACCCAAAACGGATGACCAAGGATCTTCAACATGTCTTGCATGACCTTGTGATATTTGTAATGGCTTGTTGCACCCATCTGGGAATTTTCTGTACAAGGAATCGGTGTCTGTCATGAAAGCATGTTCCCTGCTTGATGCTTAGTATCCTAAAAACCCTAAATCCTAAAGACACTGAACAACATTAAAGTTATTAATGATATTTTCCTGCTATTAGAGGATAACATATGTTCTTTTCTTTGGTTGTTTGTATTTGTGCAAGTATTTTTCTGATGCACGTTTTGGCTTGTGCACTTAAAGTAGTTTCCCTCAGGGGTATACTTTGAAGTCCTACATAGAGGGATCTCCTCTTAAAATTGCACATTTAAATTAAAGTGTAGTTATGTTGTATAATATTGCAATGATCCGGGATTAGGTTAATAGAAAAATAGTTTTATGTAATTCATTCTTTAACACTGGACCCTAAAGTTAAGGAGAGGAGATGACACACTAGTTTGTAAGGGCTAGCTATAGCAGCAGTTTATTTTGACTGTGGGGGGCCCAACAACCAGCAAGCCCTCTGTCATCACTGGACTATTGGCATGGATACGCCCTGGCCTGCTGGCAGAGAGTTTCCCCAAAGAGTGGCCACATGGGCAGACTGCATTTCCTTCAGGCGCTGGTAATTGATTGTGACAGTCTCCCTGTTCTGTCTCCCTGTTCTGTATTTCACACTGACATCATGGCATGCTTTCCTAGAAAAAAATGAATGGCCTCGGGGTTGAACAGAGTTCCACTGTTCGGAGGCATTTGACTGGTTGGAAATCTTTACATTATATGCACCTCCCACAAAACAATATATGCAACCACAATAAGGCTTGGGACCTCCGGCATGCTAAGGCTGACATGGCCCTCATTGTTTTAGCAAACCCTCTTCCATGTCCTCTGAAAACCTTAAAGGTGTGTTATACCTCTTTCTTGATGACACTGATGGTGAGATAAGATTGTTTGTTTCTCCCACCATGACCATTTATGTTCTGTCTTATTTGTGGGTTAGTGCCTGGTTACAGTTTCTGTACTTGATGGGACACGTTTCTACATTGAAAAGATAGGCTTTGTCTCAAAACATATGCCACCTTTAGAAATACACGAACTTACTTGTGTTTCTTAAGAAACTATTTTGACTTGAATGAAAGAACAGCTCATGGTTTCACACAGTTGTAATTCTGAAATAACATTCAGGGCAAAAATGTGTTGCTTTGCTTCCCTGTCGCTGGCATCATGCGGGTTAACCAGCACAGTGATAACAAGGGAACTTATCTTGGGCCACCTGGAAAGAGTTTTATTTTTCTTTAGAATATTAGCCAGATATGGTGTAACAATAAAGTAAGTGTGTAGCTGTTCAAGCATTTGCAATATGAAATAGTCCTGAGCAAGACTCCTTAGCATACTAGTGTATGTAGCATAGCGTAGCATTACTGTTGGGAATAACTGTTATCTTTAATCTTCCTTTCTTTCCAGACTCCACGAGGAGGTGATTGACTTCTACAACTTCATGTCTCCTCGCCCAGAGGAAGCAGCTATGAGGAAGGAGGTGGTGAACCGGATAGAGATGGTCATCAAGGAGCTGTGGCCCACTGCAAATGTAAGACACACACACACACACACACACACACACACACACACACACACACACACACACACACACACACACACACACACACACACACACACAACAACTCGGTCCATTTATCAGGATCAATTTCCCCCCTTTCAAATTTGTTATATCTAATGGCGCATTTCCACCGCAGGCCTCGCTCAACGGTTTTGTTAGGCCCAGCTCAATTTAATGCTGCGCTTCCATTACAGTTTAGGAACTGGGGTAGTATCTGTAGTAACGCAGTGTATCCGTGACGTCATCTTTAATGAGCGCCCCAGAAAAACAACATTAGCTGTTAGCACTCAAGCTCACAGCTCCTCATATCTGTTCAGAAACTAGACAAAAGTTAAACAAGTACAAACCACAGACTGTCTGTGTCATGGCGAATACAGTCGCTGGTTTATTTATGTCTGTATAGGCCGTTGTTGTGAGTGTGGACGGTCGGAGCATATACATTGTTAGCTTAGCCAAGCTCCATTTAGAAAACACGCATTTTAAAAGGTTTTCCGCCTGCCGTCTGTTTGCAGACTTGTCAAAGCATTAATTGATGGTCTTTACTAACCGGTATCAGTATGTTGTTACTTCGGCATCATTTTGAAACGTGTATTACAATTAAATCACGGTCAAATATGTTCATCTTGTTGTAGTTGTAGCCCCCTTACCAGCGATTCTCTCTCTAGTTTAGCAAACCCAGCCCGACTCAGCCCTGTTTGTTGGCCCCGATAGAACCTCGATTTTGTTGGGCCAGAAAGAAGGTGAAAAAGTAGCCCCGGGCCGGAACTAGGCCTAGTGGAAACGCAACCAAAAACGGGCACGACACGGCACGCTTAAACCGCGCTCCGCGCCATGGTGGAAATGCGCCATTAGAGAGCAGTCTCTTAAATCATGCAGCCCACTCTAAGGGGAGAATTATTGGCACACACACACTAACTGTGATCTCAGATTGCTTCTAACTCTTTGTTGAGAGTGTGTGTTTTAACACTCTTTTAAAGTTGAGAGTGTCTGTTCAAGATAACACCAACGTATTCCTTGTTTCTATTCGGTTTTCAATTCTTTCAGTGCTTGCAGAAATGAATTTTAGTTAGAATTGTCGTGAGACACTTTACTCTCCTATTCCTGCTTTGTATTCTATTCAACTTAAAGGCGCAGTTGGACACTTGGGGAGATGTGCTTATTATGCTTTGTTTCTCAGAGTGATAGGGGTAGTTTAGGAAGCAATATGTGGAGGTGATCATTGAAATACAGTATTTTTCTAATGACAATGGAGCAGGCGTAAAATCTGAATGACTTGTAGAATCCCATGTTCCCTGAGCAAGGCAGTCCATTGAACTGACTAGGTTATTTTATTTCACAATTTATGGGCTGTCTGTCACTCCAGATACCCAAATGTATATGCAAAAGAAAGGAAAAAGTCTGTTTTTCATGAAAATATATGATAATATACACTGTAATATAGTATAATATATAATAAATGATATTGCACAGATAAATAGTTAATGCAGAGATATTTATGCTAACTGCAATTTTCAACTGCAAAATAACAAAGACAGAGTAACAAATAATAAGTAATTTCATCAAAAGTAATTATAAGTCAGTTTGTCTCACGTTGCATGTTCAGACTCAGAGTTGGTGATGGAGGGTCCTGCAGTAGTTTGTGTAGTGCAGAGACGTAGTGTTAACGTAATGCCCCCTTCATTACCTCATCATGTGAAACATGCGCAGTGCTGATTGGTTGGCTGCCAGTCGTCCCCTCTTCCTCTGAGAGCCTGACTGTCAGGTAAATGGATCAAGACCCTGATTTGTACCAGCCTCCCTTTTCATCTCAGCCTATTAATCCTGGCCTGTCTTTGTGCCATTGCCTTGTCGTGTTTACCAGATGGAAAGGAAAAGAACTCTGCTTCCTTTTGGATAGCTTTCGCAGGCAGCCTCCACACACTGCATTTTTCCCCTAGCTGTTGTTTACTTAATTTGGTAGTTTACTTCACTTGTTAGCGTTTACTGTCTCTAAAGTGGAATGTGGGAATACCTAGTTCCTGATAGTTTGAGATAGATTAATAAATCATCTCGACAAATGAGCTATTGCACGATACAGTATCTGTACTTTCAAAATGAAGCCAAACTCATTATATTTAGAATGTGAGAAGAAGGGCTATGAAATGCCAGTGCGTTTCATTTGTATTTCTCTCTTTTCTTCAACTACTCCTCAGTTTGGTAATTGTTTTGTAATATTTCTTCAACATTGTTTTTTCCAGGTCCAAATATTTGGCAGCTTCAGCACAGGGCTGTACCTTCCAACCAGGTAAGACCCTCATGATATGTTATTTAAAAAAACATAGAATGTTTTTATTATACCTGTTCAGTAATTCAACATTCGGACTGGTTTTGCCCTCAGTGACATTGACCTGGTGGTGTTTGGGAAGTGGGATCGACCCCCGCTGCAAGACCTGGAACAAGCCCTTCGCAAACATAATGTGGCAGAACCTTTCTCCATTAAAGTGCTGGACAAAGCTACGGTGAGTAACCAGAGCACTTTAATGTCTTCATATTGAGTCCCTAAATAAAACCGCACTTGTTTTCCACATCAGATATCCATCAAACACTAGCGCATTTGATAAAATAACGATTAAATATCCCATTTTCAGTGATCTGGCACATATCTTGGTTTTATTCTTCCAAGTGAATAATAGAATGTTACAGTCACACTAAATGCGGGACCGGTTGTAACAAACCCAGCCAAAGCTTAATTTGGCAGAAGTTATTACATCCCTAGAAAAGTTCCTCTGGACTTCAAACAGTCCGTTGGATGTCTAAAGCTTTGGCTCAATTACTATTTTATGTCCATGGAAAAATTGACATTAATTAAGAGTCTTCCATCTGTTTGCGTGATAAGTGGCACTCGGCCAGTGGAGTGGTCATTTCCCCTGCTCAAATGTAAATACACAGTTCATAGTGTTTGTACAACATTATAGATTTTAACCGTCATGGTTTTAACATACAGAAAATGCTTGGATTTGATTTATATTCCTTGACAAATGCTAGTTTTCTAACATAGTATGGTGTTCCATCTACACAATCATTCATGTAAACCTAAAATATTTCAAATGAAACGGCCCTGTTCGTCATTTGTTTGTTGTATCCCGGCGTCTCCATATCTGACTACAGCTAGCTAAGCATTAAATAATCATGATCAAAACTTTCAATAATATATTAATTTGGGTCAACAGCTGATGAATACACAAAGTGACATGAGAAGACACGAGTTCTGTTAAAAAAAAAAAAGCTTTCAAAGCCACACTCAAGATGTGATGACAATGGCTTTAAGACTTTGACACCTTTTTAAAGTTAACATAGCTTGAAAAGTGTTTAGATTTTAAAAACTGTACACCATAATATTACAATAGCGCCCTATACTAGTTCAACACACAATGCTCCACTGTTAACTGCCTGTTATTTGAAGGTTTTTTTTTTCTATTTAAAGTTAAACCCAAGTATTTCTGCAAAAAATGCATATAATATGTCACACCCACTCAACCCCCCAATGGTATGGTAGCTCTGTTACATGCACCATCATCATGTGGCGTGTGCACACAAACAAGCTAACCACAGCTTGCTTAAATGCTGTATGTACTGACATGATAATAAGTAACTAATGGCTGAATTTTACATTTTTGGATTAGCATTTGCGTCCTCAAGGCTGTCTGTTGGAACATGTTTCCTTTTTTGCCTCATCACACAGAGACTGTTTGCTAATGCATGTCACCCTTTCTGCCTTCAGGTGCCAATCATCAAGCTGACAGACCAGGAGACGGAGGTGAAGGTGGACATCAGCTTCAATGTGGAGACTGGTGTCAAGGCGGCGAGTTTCATTAAAGGTTATGTTAAGGTGAGAAATACATTTATCGCCTGTCAGGATGTGCAGCTCACAGGTGCGTGTGTTATCGTAGTGATATTTCATTTAAAAATCAAAAATCAGAAATGGGTTTATTGCCAGGTAGGTTCACACTTACGAGGAATTTGACTTGATGTCATGGTGCATACATAAAAAAAAAAAATGTACACAGATAGCAATCTATATTAAATAAATTATAGTCATCAAATCAGACCAGAAGGCATCAAATGACGCACAGAAATCCATTGCATTTTTAAACCAGATAGGGAATTGAAGTCTTCATTGACTACAGGAAATCCACAATACAAGCAACAAATAGATATGTAAGAAGAGAACAGAAAAATGTCATGTAGATATATTTAAATAAAGACCACCAGACGAGTCACACAATTACTATTTTTACAGCGGCGTCTAAATAGAGAACTGTAGAAGTTCCCTGTGAATCAGAGAGCACTTTAAAGCATTACACTTCAATCTGGCGTTGGCACATCTCATTTCCAAAGTGAAGCTGGAGCGGACCCCAGCAACCGTGCTCAGAATAATCTCCACTTAACTCAGTACTGTTTTGCTTCTGAAAAACCTCGCTGCCAAATCAACTCGGCGGAGGTGAATTCCTCCCCATGGCTCTAACTAAATTCCTGCTGAAGGTGGATCTCTGCTCACTTCAGTCACGGTTATAGTAGCTAATGCACGAGAGGAATTCCAGGAGCTGGCGTTTCAGCCGGCTTTCAGCTTTTGGCTCTTCTCCCCCTTTGTTGTTGTAGTTGTTTCTTTATGTATTATGCTCCTCTGGGAGTGCATGTCTGAGCTGGAAAGCCTCCTGTTGACATCCACTCCCAGCTTCAACCCACTGAAAGTTGATGTTGCTAATGCATGGGTGTGACTGACTTGTCATTGAGAGGTCAGCTCAGAGCTAATCCTCACATGTCAGATTCCCACGCAGCCAGTTGGAGTCTATCTCCCAGTATCACTTCTCTAAAAGCATATTTGAAAAGTCAACCAAGCCCCGCTGCTCCACTGGCACACGCACACGCACACGCACACGCACACGCACACACACACACGCACACACGCACACAGCACACGCACACACACACACACACACACACACACACACACACACACACACACACACACACTCACTCACTCTCAAAAGCACCATCAAGGCAAACTTTGACACACACACACACACACACACACACATATATATATATATATACACACACACACACACACACACTCAAACGCACCATCAAGGCAAACTTTGTCTCACACACTTACACTAAGAAATGATGATCGATTAGAGCTTCATTTGGTTTAGTCCTTACAGCTTGCTGGCTTATTAAAGTATGACTAATATTAAATAATAACGTTTTATTCAAGAAAAACATAATAGAAGTGAATATATATATATATATTTTTTAAACGTAATTTCTTTGCCTGTGCAACATCAGTAAATATATTAGAGATGTATTTATTAATTGTCTCTTCTCTAATCTCCCCCCCCCCACCCCTTTCCTCAGAATGGCATCAAGTTCAACGTGAAGGGCTTCCACAACCCTCCGCTGGTCAGCAACCCTGTGCTGGTTAATCGCGGACACACACACACTCACTCTCACACACAGTATCACCGCAACACGTGGCGGCGCAGGAAGAGGGAGAGCCTCCCGGTTAGCCTCAGCAGATAGAAACCACTCCTCCCCCCCCCCTCTTCTGCTCCCTTTTCTCTGGATGCAAACCCCCCGTCGGTCTCTGAGGAGGACGGACCGAGGACCAGCAGTTTCACCCCGGGCTGCCGCCACACAGAACGACAGCCCTCAGCATCTTCTTCCTAAAATCTCTACCTTTCCATTTCTGCATGACTTCTTTTAGGTTTTCAGTATTATGGTCCTTTCAGTATTTCTTCCTCATCTTGGTTTCAGGTCTCTCACTGTTATTGTTTTGTTAATTCTTGACTGACTTGGTGGTGACGCCGTTGCCAAGTTCACCTGACCTCGTCTGCAGCCAAGCTGCCTCTGGTTCTTTTTTTATATTTTTTTTTTACAGTTTATACTCTTAAGAACAAACGTTTCATTTGTGCAATAATGTTATTTTTCTTCCGGGAACTAAAGTAAATGCTTATTTAATTTTGTGTGTTTATATGTAAAGGCATTTTTATACAGTTGTATTATTTTTGTAGAGTTTTAAAATTTTGTTTACGAATCCTTTCCTGGGGCAGCCTCTCTGGAGTGTGTGTGTACCATAGTTGTTTATGTGAGTGTGTGCGCTGTGTTTCATCAGGTTGAGATGGACCCCCCGTTCAGACCCCTCCTCCTTCTCTTCTCTCTGTTTAAAGGGATACGGAGCTTTTGCCTTTATATTCCTTCCACTTTCCTTCGTCTGTCTTGTAGGAAAGGGGCGGGGTTAACAAGGAATTCCTCCTAGAAGTTTTTTTCCTCAGCCCAGTTGGTCTAAGGCATCCTGGAGGGAAGTAGGGTGATGGGAAATTGCAACATGGGAAATCCTGAAAAACAAGAGGAGAGGGTGTAATTCTGATTTGGTCTATAAGAGCAGATTTAGCAGTGCCACCTTGAGATTGTGTGTTTTTTTATCTCTCCGTAAGTGTGGATCGGTTGGCCATTTCTCTCAGAGGGGATTTTTAAGGGAACGTTTCCATAAATCGCAGAATTTCGGCCTGTTAAACTTATGTCCTCTTTTTATGACATGTTGTAAGAGGGTTGCGACCAAGAAAGCAACAGCGTTTCTGAATTAAGATTAGCGAAAGAGGGCCACAGAGAAATCCTCGTAGTCTCTCTGGTCGAGGGACCTATTTGTTGGAAAACTGATCCAAGCGCTGAGGCCAGCCCTTGTCCGCAGCTGTAAAAGAGTGCAGACCAACACTAAGATGCTCACGATAAGGTTTCCCCTCTATGCTCCCAGACAAAGGAGATGGAGGAGAGGAGGAGGGGGGTCATCCTGAACCAATGACCCCAGTGAAAGGGAATTATATTTTGATTCCGTTCAGGAATCTTGTGTATATTTTGATTGCCAGGTACTTCCGCTAATTGTTTGCAATGCCTTTCTTTGTGTTTACTTGGAGTGTGTGTTCGTCGTTTCCTGTGAGACACACGCTGTCAAAGGCTGTGACTCGCCCCGAACACGACACACACGCTGGTGTTATTACTATGCAAGTGGATTATTCAGATTATGTGTCAACTCTTGTCTCTCCCTTTGGGTCTTTTTTTCCTCCACATGACAAACACTGCTTCTTGGACTGATGTTACTGACTGTCAAGACTCGTAAGCCATCTCATGTGAAACCCCCCCCCCATCGTTGTGTTTGTATGAAGGCCCCAAAACGTTTCAAAGTCTAGTTTTCTACATCTATCAGTCAAATGTAAGGAATGGAGGATGTTAATGTCAATGGTCTGGGTCTGTGTAGTGCGTGACAAAGTGAAACGTGTGTGAGAAAGTATCGAGACTCATGACTTAACACCAAGTTTTTTTTATTTTTAATAAATTAGACGCTTCATGAGCAGGTGCACCTAGAGAGCGACTGGCCCTCTGCAGGTGCACTTTAGAAAGTGTCCAAAAACAATTCTACAGTGCTGTTAAAATATTTACGTTTACCTTTTCTCTTTTTCAAACCATGGCAACTCTGTCCGTCAGTCAAAAATGCTCAAGGCATCAATTCTCAAATGAAGGCTTTCTGATTTGATCGCAGAGGATGAGCTAATCATCACCTCTACATTAACAAACCCCGTTTTCATTCAATGATTTGACAAAAAAAACAGCTTCCATCATCGCTTTGGTGCATGAAACTCTCAGTTACATGAGATCCTAGCCCTTAAATAAATTGGATAAGAACCAGGATGTAGTTTCAAACTGCATCCCTGTCAGCCATGCTAGCTTTTAGAGATTAGAACAAGCATTGATTAAGAGGCTGGCTATACAATTGGTGAAAGACGGTTGTTGACAGATTAGTTGGCAGCATCTCCACAGCAAAGACTTGACATGCAGTATCCGAAGAAGTCTGTACGGATTAAAATCTCAGCGGTTTAGCTTGTGCTCTGATTCTCCAGATAAGTGTTAACGCCGGGTAATGGAAGCATCAGAGACAGCCGGGGCCGTTGAGATTTTAGCGTTCACACGTACACGTAGATGCAGTGATATACGACCCCTTGTTGCAACACAATGAGGGATTTTAAACTGGCGGCTGCTGTTTAGAGAGAGCGGCAGCCCCTCTTTGTCCTGGCTGATTCCTGTGAGCAGTGGCCCTCTGAATGCACACTAAGCTACCGGTGGACAGAGGGACCCACTGCCCAGCTTGTGGTTGGTTTTTTTTTGGTTGGTTTTTTGACATTTGTATGTAAATATATTTTTTTCTATTTTATTTTTTAATAAACATTTTAAAACTGCCAGTCAGTGGGTGTTTTTTTGAATTGACAGTGAAAAATAAGGGTGCTCAGAGCTACATTAAAGGTCCCATGTCATGGCCATTTCTACTGATCATAATTCCATTGTTGAGGTATACTAAAATAGATTTATATTTTGCAATTTTCCAAACTCACATTGGTTTCTCACACAGCATCTCTGTATACAGTGGCGGCGCCAGATTATTTTTGTTGGGTAATCTATGGTAGGGCTAACCCATACAGTGGTGGGGCTCAAGTCAGTATTTGCAATTGCTAAGGGGGCTGCAGCACCCCCATCAGCGAGGCTCCACCAGCCCCCCCCCCGCCAGCGCGTCACAGTTTCGTGTGTGTCTCTCCACGGACCAATGGGTCCATTTGGGTATGGTCATGTCAATATTTTCAGCAAGAAAACAAATGGGAAAAGAAAAATGTCCTACGAGGCGTTCTGGGGCAGCATAGACAGGTCTTTTCTGTGTTTAGAGTTTTTTACTCGCTGCAGGGTGTACTTTGAGGGTTTGTGACTCTGCAGACCGTTTACATGTATAAAAACCTTCATAACACACAAGGGGACGGGTAATAACCGGAAAAGCATGACATGGGACCTTTAATACATTTCGTGTAACTAAACTCATAAATGACCCATTTTTATTCTACATAGTTTTCATAATGTATGCAAACTGTTTATATACCCTTCCAGATGAAGTCGGTTTACTGGCCAACGGGTGAATGTAAGTCTAATAATCCCTTATCCTATGTGTTGGTCTCCACAAGTCCTAAGAGTAATATTCAGCTTTGAAAGGAAACGTTTGTTTTGTAGTGGGGTTGTATGCGGTACTTATCCATAGTCTGTATATCACATTCTGTAAGCTGTTATCTATGCTCGCCTTAAATACACCAGACTCCATTGAGAAAAACACTACTTGTACTTTGTAGAACACACATGTTTTTTATCTGCTGTTGTCGTTTGTTTGTAATATTGTGGGACTTTGCTGAATTTGAACCATTTACAACAGTGGATCCCAACATGAGGGTCTCTACCCCCACTAGGGGTCGCAAGAGCTTTTTGACTCAAAGTGTTTTTGGTAGAAAAGTTATTAGATCAATAGAACAAGTGCCAGGGAGAACAAAATCACAGAATTTTTCAAAAGAAAGAAAACGTATCTAAGATTAGTTTGAAATTCAACAACAAAAAAGCGAAATACAAAGAGATTATTAAAAGTTCCCCCTGCAATCTTCACAGCAAATATTCTTCTAAATTGCTCGTTTTTACGAGTGTTGCTTTCACTTTTGAGGTTTTCACACAGACTTGTTTGTCACTGTCATTGAATATATTACCAGGAAATATCCATTAAATGTCACTAAAACAGGGGTCATCAGTTAACTCGTTGATACAAAAGAGGTAGTTAGAAGGAAACACATGTAAACCATTGCTTTAAAACACAAAATATGACACAAACAGACACATGTAACTGTTGAAGGCAGCCTTAAACCACCATCTCCTGTTCTACACGGTAAAATGACTGTTTTGTCGATGGAGTCTGGTTGCTTTGAAGCCTATATTCAGTGTTTCAGTTCCTCGTTGGAGAAGGCTGGCGATAGCACATTAAAGCAGTTGAAACTATTCCAAATATAGTGCAGAATTACACTGGTACTGAGGATTTTAAGGTTACTAGATGACGTTTTGGTGCAACCCATGTAAACAACACAACATGGCTTGGATTTCCTTTACGTACGCCTATCTGTTTCTTCAAACTGGTGGCATGCCAATACACCAACACCTCATACAACCCCACTACAAAACAATCCAAACTATTCCTTTAAAAGCTGCTAATTCTCAGAAGACTCTCTGTCTCTAATTACCCTCAAACGGTTCATGGATCTAAATCCTATACTGAGTGTCTGAGGCTCTTATTTCTTCAGTAACATGGGCTTCGTCTCCTCAACACTGGGTGGTGCACATGTACTTCTGTTGGTGCTGGATTAGGAGGAACATAATGACTGATTTGCTTAACTGTTTGTCCTCTGTACGTTTAAACCCCTAAACCAAATATAGAGGTGTTAAGCTTTACAGTGGATATACAGTCGCTGTCAGGTGTGTGTATGTTTGGTTCAGGATTACATGTACTCTCTGCCACCTGTCTCCAGCCCTGAAGCACCTGACGCACTCCACTGGTGTGACCTCCTGAACAGTAATAGAGGTGAACTTCAGAGGGTTAGACCTAACGCCTCGGGTGAAGCTAAAAAGGGGCCCAAAAAGTGAGTAATTTTCCATTTGAAACCAGCTACCTGCTCAAAGGTGAGACATTTGGATTAGTGTTCTGGGTGCTCAGGGTGACAGGTATTAAAGTTAAAACATGAGACAAGTCAGAGCTTGCCTTTGTATTTGCAGGGAAACTGAACCTGTTTCCTCAGCTTGGATAAGGGCTGTGTTTAATAAAGAATCATAAATAGAAATAGTAATTTAAAGAAATCATATGTCAAATATATATATTTTAGAAATGCACTTAACTACTGTATATTGATTATCATCAGCAATTGCAAAATTAAATAAGTTAACACTTCTCAATGTCAACAAATTAGTCTCCTGTGAATCAGTGATTTTCTTCATCCACACTGGTTTGATTGTTGTTTGAAGAAGAAGAGCAGAGTACAGACAGATGAGGCTCCTGTCTGACCATCTGCTCATAATGGACTTAGTACCCTAATGATTCCCATCTTTACAGTTTGCATATGAGCTGTGAGAGCTGTTATAATCCATATTTCTATAGTAACGAAGGATCAAATAACATTCTGTCATGTTTGAACAAGCCGGGGAGATATCACACAGTTCTGCAGCTCAACCCCACCTTGTCTGTTTTCATTCACTCTTACTGCTCTCGTTCTGTTTGCAGCTTTTAGAACGTTATTGCTGAAATAGCTGCCCTGCACCAAACAGTAGACTATCAAATCAAATCAAGTTTTTTTTATATAGCACATTTAAAAGCGATTTTTGGTCGAGCCAAAGTGCTGTACATGTAATAAAAACACATTACTACAATAAAAGACAATAATTTACAACAGAAATATAAAAAAACAATAACACAGGGAATAGTCAGGTGTCATGCTCCGCTCTGACTAGAAGGTCAGAGAGAAGAAGTGTGTTTTTAGTGAGGATTTAAAAACCCCTAGTGTCTGGGCCGACCTCACATGGAGGGGCAGAGTGTTCCAGAGCCTGGGGCCAGCTGCTGCGAAGGCTCGGTGCCCTCGGGTTTTGAGCCTGGTCTTGGGCACTGTCAGCAACAGCTGGTCAGCAGACCTTAAAGCTCTGGCTGGGGTGTAGCGATGGAGGAGTTCGGCTATATAGGCTGGAGCCAGCCCATTCAGGGCTTTGAAAACAAATAAAACGATTTTAAAATCAATTCAGAACCGAACTGGAAGCCAGTGTAGTGAGGCCAGAATTGGGGTGATGTGGTCATGCTTTTTGTGACCAGTCAGAAGACGTGCAGCTGCGTTTTGGACTAGCTGCAGGCGTTTAATTGAGGCCTGGTCCATACCCACAGAGCGTTGCAATAGTCCAGTCTTGAGGTAACAAAGG